TGGCCGGGCCCCATCGCCGCTGTCTGTCCCGTTCCCTCCTTGTCTCCCCGTTTCTCCTTCTCTTCCCCGTGTCCCCCTTGCCCGGTGCCCCTCTTTGCCCCTTCTTTCCTCCTTTCCCATCTCTGTTCCCCTAATTCACCCCCTTTCCCCCGTCCCCTTCCTCCTCGCCCTCCCTGAATGTCCCGGTCCCTCACGGGGCCGTGGTCCCTGGGTGCTGTCAGCTCTCATCCTTGTTTTTTACTCTCCTTAAAGAGCATGGTTGTGGCTGTTCCTCTTCAGTAAGGCTGCACCTCATCCTGGGAAAAAGATAATTGAGAGAGGAAAAGTTTGGCTGGTGGTGGAAGGGAGTGGAGGAGGTTCCTTTGAAGTAAGAGCCAGAGTAGATTGTGACTGGACTTTGCATCTGTGGCGTTGCGTGTCCGTGTGTCCGTGTGTGCCATGGCTAAACGTGCAGGTGTTTTATGGAGCCACAGCTCTGTGAAGAGGAGCCCACAAGTGCAGGACACCTGAAAAACATCTCTGCACAAATTGGAAGGCTGTTGGATATTTGTGTGTGTGTTTTGTCATTTCTCGACTTCTGATTTAAAAAAACTCAGAGAAGGATGAGCTTTCCTTTACCTTGTCTTATATTGTAAAGGTTAATAATAAATTCTCACACTATGCCCATTAAAAATTTTAAACACTTTTCCAGGAATTATTTTAATGCTGATCACAGAAGTAGAGTTGGGAATTGTAATTTCCTTGTTCTTCTGGTCTAAAAGAGCTTTAATGTAAGAGTGCCAAGGGCCAGAGTGTGTGTCCTATTCCCTAAAACAGCTAATGAAGAGACAATGGTGAAAAACCTCTTAAAAACCTCACAAATGTGTATTGCTCCAGAAGGACACAGATCACTGCTGAGAACTGTTATCTGCAAATCAAGGGAACTCCTCAAACTAATGATTTACATGTATGGTTGGGTTGTCACTCCTCAGCTGGAGTTTTGTGTACCATGCATATAACCAGATGGGATTTATGATTCAGGGCCTTCACTTCCAATATTTGTTATGATTAGAAACCTCTCCTTCAGTGAAGGATTGAACTAAAATAGAAGATGTTATTGATGGGAAGCAGTTCTGAGTCCTTGCCGTTCATTAATGGGAGTTAATTTATATACACAATTCTGTAGCAAAATGGTAACTTTAAATTAATGAACAGTCTGGGTTTATTATGTTTTTTTATGAGATAGTTGAAAAGATGCAGCATTGCTGTTGTTGTCTAAAGTAGACAGCATAATAATGACTTGAATTTTAGTTATATATGAAAAACAAGTTGAATCAAGTCAGGTTTCAGATACAAGTTAATTTTTAATTTGCCCTCCTGCTTTTGTTTTCTGGTTTGGAAATTGTCAGTTAGAACTTGACACTTTGTTCTTTCTGGTTTTATTTTTAGTAGAGCAAGCTGAAAATCTGCTGTCTTATCTAACCCTTTATTAACTTTCTCACTGCAAGTTTCAGATTTCTCATATCTTAGTGTATTATTTTTAAATGGCTCCCAATTACCTCTTCCAACTTATTCCACCAATTTGATATGAGAAAGCATTTCAAACTTTCATTGCCTTTTGTCTTAGTGCCTTAAAAGATAATGGTGTTTTTTAATAATTTGAGACTAAAATCCTGTATTAATTGTGTGTTTTTCTTATCTGTGGGTTCTTCTTTTAGCACATGGGACAGGATGTGGGACATCAGTAATGGTTAAAAGAAGTTGCTTTTATTTTCTTCTTGTAGTGGCAAATTTGACAAAATAATCCAAAAGGTCCATTGAACATGTATGAAGCTAAAAAGCATTAAATATAAACAAATATAAGAAAGATTTTGTTATTTCAGGTCTCTAATGCACTAAAGCTTAATCCAGAAAGTAGTCAAAGACTTGCTTCTAACATAGCTTATGGTGTGGGTGTTCTGGGGACTTTGTGTATTACCTGGAACAGGTGTGTTTAGATAAATGATCAGAGAATCTGTAATCAGGATGACAAATTTCCAAACAATGCATGGCCACACCTTGGTAATACTTTGGGCTTTTTCCCTCTTTTTGTCTCCTAGAAATGGCTCTGCTCTGCGAAGAGGCAATGCAGTAGATGTGCTGCTTAGTCATGGCATCAGAACTGTGTAAAACAATCTCTGAGGCAAAGCTGGAGAGGCACAAGAACTTGTTCTTGAATTACAGAAATCTCCATCACTTCCCTCTGGAGTTACTGAAAGATGAGGGGCTGCAGTACCTGGAGAGACTTTACATGAAAAGAAATTCCCTGACCACATTGGTACGGCAGTCTCTTTATTGCAATGTTTACTGTCTGTGTGCTTAGAAACAGAAAAAAAAAAAGAGATTATATTCTAGATAATCTGACCCTGAAAGATGCCATCAGCTGTAAGATGTGAGTATTTGAACTTGCATAGGTCATGTAGAGAATGATAAATGGATGTTCATGACATTTTATGGTTATCTTCCAGCTCTCAAGACCTTCTGGAGCTTTTCTTGTCAGGCTTATTGTTCTGTAGGGTTTTATTTAACCAATATGTTTTACTCACATAAGTGGTCTGTTTCTCCTGTTAGATGATGCTGTGCAGTCTATTCTACATTTCTTCATTAGGCTGAATGACCTTTTCCCTTGGTGTGTGTGCCTAATTTCCAAGGCAATGTCAATCCCAGGGTCAAATTCCAAACCTGTTAAGGTGCCAGTAAAAACTTGTATCTATGGGCTGCTGTTGATAGGAGAACACAGTTCTATGTCACAATTAATGTGGGATTTTCCTCTGGGATTTCTTCTTGTTTTGCTGTTTTTCCCTGAACTGGAGAAATTCTCACCCTGAGTCAATGTTGTGACCTCAAAACTCAGTGTGGGGCAGTTAGATAACTGTGAGATGTTCTGAGCTGGTAAGACTCTATAGGATGGAGTCAGAACTTGCCACTGTCAATAAGCTCAAGTCTCCAAGTTTTCATTTTTGGTTCCTTGATTGGTTTGAATTTGTTGGTTGGTTTTTTTGGTGGGCTCTTCCAGGGTATGGGAGATAAAATAATAGCAACAGTAGAGGAGCTGTAGGGCATGACTACTTAAAATTCACCAAAATTGTACAGTTTTCAGAGTTTCCTAGAATGAGTCCAGTACTCCACTTTAAGGGCCAAAAGCTTAAATTCTGAAGATTTTATGCCTTTTCTTCATCTTGAATGAGTCACTTAAGTTGACATGTACTGTAGAGAATTATTTTAGCACTCTGGTTTTGGGCAGTAATTTAATAATGTGCAATAATTTAACAGGAGGATAAGTTTCATAGTTACAAATCAAAACTGCTGTAAAATTAGCCAAAGGCTGTAAACAGCTCTGCCTTGACACTTTGTGAAATTCAGTGATGATTTAGTGCAGTAAGTTCACAAACTTTGCACTGCTCAAAAGATGAAACAATAAGGAGGGTTTTGTATGTAAGTGTTAAGACCTAGATAAAGAAACTGAAACAAAAGTTAAAATGTAGGTCATACTTAGGCAAAATTGCTTTCAAACAGCGTGAAGCAGAGCTTGATTAGATTCACAGCAATCAGGATAACTTGCTCATAATGTGCCTTGTTGGGCTCTCATTCAAGTGCTCAGCACTATTGTTGGAACAAGGCAAACAAATTTGGGTGTCATTCACTGAGCATCTGTTCCACAGAAGAGATGTTGGAAGTTGTAGTGGACCAAAATAGATCAAGTCAGCAGCATGTTACAAAAAAAGACAGATGTCTTTTTGGAACGTGGAAAGTTTGACAATCTCCATTAAAAGCAGAAGGAAGTAATTATTGATGCTGTTAAAGCACAAGCTGGAGCTGAGAGTTTGATAGCCACGAACAGCCTGGGTGAACTGGAGAGAACCTGGAGAGCAGCAGGGAGGGACCTTGGGAGAGCTTGTCCTGAGAGAAAAGGTTAAAGGTGATGGAGAGGGAAAAACAGGAGGAACAGAAATCACACAGAGCAGAATTTCATAATGAGATTTTTCTTATTACTGGTAAGACAAGTAGTGCTCTCAATTTTAGTAAAGTCATAGTAAGTCAGGTGCACCGGGGCAGTGGGGGGAGTGGAAATCTCAGCTGAGAATACTTGAAAACAAATTATTGAAGGAAAATCTATCCTCTGTACACTTCTCTAATGCAAGGTGATGAGCAATAGCTTATCAATAAACACTTCCAATTGCATGAGCATTATTGATAACCATCAAAACAGAACCTGAACCATATTTCTTTATAATTAGGTGGTACATTTGTCCCACTGGTTCATTCTTTCAGAATTCTGAAAATAAATGACTAAATCAGCTTTTGTTCTTTACTCTTCTCAAATGACTCTTGTCCTTGACAGATGACTCTTATGAAATGTCTGGGATAGTTACTCTGACAGAATTTACCTTGGCTAAGAATAATTTCATTTTTGTCTCCATTGGCAAGAGGGAAGTGATGGAGTGCTGTGACATAATGAATGGATCACACAGCACACCTGTATCCCAGCCCCAAATCTTCCCAGTTCATCTTTGATCACATGAACCTTCCAATACCCAATTTCCCCATCCATTAAAAAGAAATAGATGTTTGCCTTGTTAGTGCTGTGGGAAGCAAGATCAAGAGTGATTGATTTTAATTTCCTGCCTCAGAATATGGGATGCTGTCCTGTTCTGACAGCGCAGCAGGTGGAGTGGTGGCAGTAGTTTGTGGTTCAGGTTAACATGCTAATCGTACTAAAGGCAGCAGGATGGCAGTGAAATGTTTTTCCCCACGCT